CGTGTCCGGCGCGTTGCACCCGTTGATGAAGGTGCGCGAGGAGTTCCGCCAGATCTTCTTCTCCATGGGCTTCACGGAGATGCCCGCCAACCAGTACGTGGAGTCGGGCTTCTGGAACTTCGACACCTTGTTCGTGCCGCAGCAGCACCCGGCCCGCGACTTGCAGGACACCTTCTACTTGAAGGACCCGGCCGTGGCCAAGGCGCCGGAGGACACGCAGTACTTGCGCGACATCCAGGCCGTGCACCAGGACGGCAAGTTCGGCTCCATCGGCTACCGATACCCGTGGCGGCAGGACGAGTCGCTCCGCATGGTGTTGCGCACACACACCACGGCCATTTCCGCGGCCATGTTGAAGAAGTTGGCCGAGGACCCCAAGCCCACGCGCTTGTTCTCCATCGACCGCGTGTTCCGCAACGAGGCCGTGGACGCCACGCACTTGGCCGAGTTCCACCAGGTGGAGGGTGTGCTTGCAGGGTACGACATCACCTTGGGCGACTTGATCGGCTTCATGGAGGACTTCTTCTCCAAGATGGGCGTGGACGGCTTGCGTTTCAAGGCCGCCTACAACCCGTACACGGAGCCCTCCATGGAGATCTTCGCCTACCACAAGGGGCTAGGTAAGTGGGTGGAGATTGGCAACTCGGGCATGTTCAGGCCGGAGATGTTGGCGCCCATGGGCTTGCCCTCCAACTTGCGGGTCTTGGGCTGGGGCCTTTCTTTGGAGAGACCCACCATGATCAAGTATGGCGTCTCCAACATCAGGGAGTTGTTGGGCCACAAGGTCTCGTTGGACTTCATAGAGACGAACCCGGCCGCCAGGTTGGACGAGGACTTGGTGGGCTGAGCGCCCACGGGACGGGCACACGGAGTATACCATTAATACATTCACTGACGCATGAGTTGTTTCTGTGGAGACCGGGGCGGTGTTGTAGAGGTGTGGTTGAGGTGTTGTGGTGTTGTTGTGGTGTTGTAGAGGTGTTGTAGAGGTGTTGTAGAGGTGTTGTAGAGATGTGGTTGTAGTCTTCGTGTTATGGTGTTCTTGTTGTGGTCTGTTTGGGCAAACTCTGGTGCTTTGCTCAGATGGCTACTTTCGGGAAGATTCGGGGTTCTACTATTATGGCTAATATGAAATCAGCACTGGCTGGAAAAGCCCGAGAAGCACAGGCCAGTGGAGACTGGTTAAGGGAGTCAACTTTGTTTGACGAGGCCAACCGACAACATTGCAGAGTAGTACCCAGTGTCTTGTAAGGTCTAAGCCCTGCGCTGGCAACCCTCCTCGTGGTTATACTCTACACATTCGAGCGAGTATACCTTGTGGAGCATGTATCTGAAGCGGAGTATACTCTGAAGGTTATATTGGTCGGTAGGCATAAAAAAGAGTCGGAATACAGGTGCACATTTTTACATCCATCGGCCTAGCGGATCGGAGCAAAATGACGAGACGGCAAATGCGGTGTCACCAGTCTCATCTAGTTTTTCTGAACGTTGGCGTTCGGTACGTGGCAATACTGATATCACCCCTCAAATTGCGTCCTGGTTTCAGCTTTTTGTTTCTTGTAAAATGGCCATTACAGGCCATGCGTGCTCTGTGGTAAATCCCAGTAGAGGGGAAGAAGAACAAAACAAACCCTGGTAACAGATAAATCAGCGGACCCAAGAAACCGAGGCTACTTCTGGATCATTGATCCCCAAGAATTCCATCGTGACTGCTCGTGTAAGATATCTGAGCATAGATGTAACTATGGGGTATCCTTTTTCTTAATCACTAATAAATTTCCTGATTTGAGAAAATGCCCGCAAAAATAATAGAGTGTTCTTTGAAATTGAAGTGGTTATATCCATAGTGCTTAATGTTGGGGCATGGAGGTATATCATCACCATTTGTTGTAGCCGACCGGCTCAATCGCATAATTGCAAGAGATGATCACTCTTCTGTCTTTAATACATCCCTCTATAGGCAAACTAGATCCTAGTTCATCGAAATAAACGAAGGCCATTGGACCCCGATAGCTTCATAGATATCAAGGACTCCAAGGCACCAAAGCATCATCCGCCTGTTCTCGAACAAAAGATTTTTTTCATTGCCACGTTGAACCGTGATAAATAACAGTGATGTTCCAATTGGGCTAGCAGCGTGTTTCGCATTGTATCTGGAGGCTTGATTAACAAATGTAGATTCTTTTGCCGCATGCTACTTCTATCTTGTTAAAGTAGACAGTGATCAAGTATATGTCTTCTCTCTTGAATCACCCAAAATGAAGTAATAGCTTTCAATAAACGCCAATGTACTGCCATTTTTGGCAAGAGGAAGCGTGAAAATCGCCGTTCTCTTACTGGTGAATTAAATCTCACTGGATTAAGGAAATTCTTGCAGCAGCTAAAAGGAACAGATAAAGATTTAGTTTTTTGACTTAGAAAAAACATATGGACAACAACCGCGTGCTTCATCGTGAAAAAAAGGTTTCTCCTTCTTGAGCTATACCTCTCATTAGCTGTATCACTAAGCCAGGTCGATGCATATCCTCAACGTCCGACTACGTTCTCAACTTTTGCAATAATTTCGAAGCTCAAAAGATAATTACAACTATTGAACATGATGTTTCAGTCTTTTCCAAAACTTTTCTTTGCGCTCTAAGTTCAAGTTAAGAGGCTAGCTTCTTTCGGATCATGTCAATTTTGGATTATTCTTCTAACAAGTTTAGTCTTCAAACCAATGATTTTCTTCGTTTATTCTGTTTTGGATTTTTTGTAAAAATATAAACGCCTGGTCGGAAGTCCCTAAAGTCCTTAATTTCCAACTGAAACATCACGCTTCTTAAAGCCGGGCTCTCATACTTTACAAGCCCCAGAAGGTGGAATGCTCTTCCATTTGTAATGAGAGTTCTAGGTGCGCCCATTCAACAATGATGGGATGGATAGTATATTCATTTTCTTATGAATTTGTTAATATACTTTCTACACTTCATGAATTGCCTTGGCCCCATCACCTTGAAGTTGTGTAATTTAATGGCTCTCAAAAACATATCTCAAACTAGCTCGGCCAGGCCTCTGAAGTTTTGTTGATCTGTAGAAAGTTGGTCTGTAACAATTCTGCACACTTGCAGTTCTGACAAGCACCTCAACGACTTCCCAACTGCCGTGAGCTTTGATACATTCTCCCTGATGAGATGGTTTGTCGAAGGCCATTTTTCTAAATGTTGGATTCATACTGAATTACCTCGAAATATCACTTCGCCTATCTGTTCAATTTCGCATCCATTGTTAATATTGCGCAGTACGATCATTTACAAGCCGAAATTCTTTGTTTCGTCTGGCGTGTCCATTTCCATTTATCCCTCTCAATTGAGCCAGCTAAACTTAGTACTTTTCATGGTCAATCAGTTAGGTGTGTTGTAATATATTGACTTCTTTAAATACCGGGACTTGAGGTTTATAGTATATGAATTCGAAGGACAGAGCCTAAGAACCACGGCAGCGGAAATGCAGGTAATTTTCATGGCAAAGCGACAGCAATATACTGTCCAGTTTAGAGAGTCCTGTTGCGTTTGCAGCATAGAATGAAAATACCATAGCCTTGCGGCACAGATATGGCGTTTCAGCTGGCATCAATGATATTCTGAATTTCTAAATGTTGAAATAGGCTCTTGAGCACTGAAAGCTCTATTCAGATCTCAGTCTCGAAAACGTCTATTTGACGTAACTATACCGTCTCTCCTGCATTGGCAATCTTGAAGCTTTACTCCACAATTTTATGGTATTTCGAGCTTGTATGACTGCGTATTATTACGTATAATTCAAAATCGTAGCTTGACTGAGCTTTAATCCTAGGCCCGATGCTATTATGCCTGCCATAATGTGGCTTGCTTCTTTGGTCGGAAGTTAGAAACACGGGAAATTTAAAAAACGACATGCGGCCGGTGCTCCAGGGCCAATGCCTGCCGCGTTTCTAAACGAATGCTTCTGTCCCAAATCCCCCACTGGTTATTCACAGTATCACTTATTGCAGAGCTTCAAAAAGTAGAGATAAACAAAATGTCACAAGACGGAAGCCGTGTGCAAAATTACGGAAAATGTTGAAGGAAGTTAATAAAAAAAGAACGGAAAACAAGAAATCACCCATCTTGCTTATCCAGACTATATTTAATAGATCTCCGGCGCGCCAAACACCAGCACCTCCCGAGCACCTCAACTTCTCCTGTCAACTTCTCACGACTATTCTAAACTACTCTTACCGCCCTCGAATCCTCCGCAAAACAGGCAATAAACACCTCAAGAAAACATTTCAAACCCCCGGGAAATACCGGAAAACACAGAATAATACCACCGATAGTATTACGAGGTGCCAGACGCTGCAGGAGTTTCAAACAAGTACACAAACGCGGGATCACGACCATAGTCTCAACTAACTGCACAGTATCCCCAGAAATTCACACAAAGCCACCATAAAAAAAAACAGCCACACCGCCACACACCCAAAATCATGGCCACAGACCCCCGGCGTGATGCAAGAAAACCCGCCGACGAGCTTGCGTGCAATTGGGACGCATGTCCCCACCCGCAGTTCCCGTCGCTAGCCGCCCTCGTGAATCACGTGACCGACGTGCACTTGGCGCCCATGACCCAGGCCGCCCCCAACGTGCCTGTGCGCTACAGCTGCCAGTGGCAGGGCTGTCTGCGGTACTCGTCGGAACAGCCGTCCCGCTTTGCGCTCATCTCCCACTGTCGGACGCACACGGGCGAAAAGCCGTACTTCTGCCCGATTCCCGAGTGTGAGAAGCACTTCACGCGGCTGGACGCTTTGGCCAAGCACGTCAAGGGCGTGCACGACTTGCACCAGCACCGGGACGCGCTTGCCCACATGCGCTACCGCAGCGAGAAGGGCAAGCTAGGCGGCACGCCGCTCGCAGACGCAGACGCGTTGACCGACGCGTTCTTCGTGGGCTTGTTGGACACGGACTACGCGCTCCGAATGCCCTGGTGGTTCTCGCAGCGGTTCCTGGACGTGCTCCGCGCGGACAGCGTGTGTTTGCAGGCGCTCTACGACCAGCCGCTCGAGACGCGCTGCCACGACTTGGCCGTCCGACGCTACAAGACGTTTCTCGCGGGCGCCGACGACAGCTCTCTTGTTGCGGCACACGGCACTCTCCACGACGAGGAGCTTGCGCCGCTTCGTGCCGAGGCCCGGGAGGTGCTCGCAGCACACCGCCAGGCTCCGCAGCTTGCGAACAAAACCCACGACTCCCTGGAGCTGGAGCACGCCGCCTTGGAATCGACGCTCGCCACAGCAACGAGCATCAACCGCGTGGTCAAGAAGAACTTGAAGGCCGCGGTCACCGAGAAACGCCGCCTCTGGGCCGTGGTCCAGGCCTTGCTCGATGCCAACGTTCGCCTAGGGCTTTCGCCGGATAGTGCTGGCATCGAGCCCGACGAAATAGATGCCGTGCTTTTGCAGGATGGCGAAAAGTAGGCCTTTAAGCGGTACCGGGTAGGGGCTGGCGAGCTTATCTTAACGCACGTGCCTCTGGCGCGGCCAAACCATTGGTGAACAGATTCAAGACGGCTCGAAAATCAGGCTTCCAGATGGCGAGACACGGGCTCCAGACCAACACGAACGGCAAGAAAGGTATGCTCAGTGAGCATGTTATACACAAGCGAGCCGAGTCTCCAAACCCCGCCCACTCGTCCGGGGTCCACCGTGGGGTTGCAACGACTACATAACCGGGATCATCAGATATCGGATTAGACTCGCGGGATGCCCTCCGTAATAGATATGCGAGTCAATTCCTGGAGTTTATAGCGCCTTTGAAGTTCTGAGACACAGGAAAACTGACTAACTGTGGATCTGAGACCTTAGCTTACCCTGTTGCAACTAGTTTGCCCTCATGCCTTGCCCCTTGCTGGCGTACTGGTCCTACATCCACCTGAGAGGAGAAAAAGAAGGAGAAAATAAAAAAAAGAAAAGAAGATTGGGAGAAAAAAAGGCCGGGCCGAAACCAAAAAAAAGGGTCAGTTCAACCTCCTTGAACTGCCAGGGAATTGGGAGTTGTTTCTTATTAGGGCCTTTTCATGTTCGCATCGCACTTTCTCCCGCGAGCGAGTGTCACGTGGTATCCGCCATGTAGGCATCCCTCACGTGGCAAGAGGAAAAAACTTCCGTACAGGGAAAGTTTTTTTAGAGAATAGTAGTATCCTAAGGATCCGAAGTACCGTACATACTTGAATTGAGAAATCTGATACTGAAAGATTAAGAGTCAAATTGAACTACTAACTGAGCGAATGAACGAACCAGGCACTTCAACGACCCCGGTGCTTACGAGCGCCCCGGAAATCGGGACTTTGTACGGAAGTGAAGTCCAAGCAGCATGAGCTTGATGAATAAATACTTTCCAAAAATCACGGAATATAGGGACAGATTCAGAGATGGCAATAGAAAGATCGCACACGCAATGTTGAAGAACCTCCCCTATCTCGTGACGGGGAATGGATTCTCATGGCAGAAGAAGCGCGACGCTGGACACGTCTTAGTGGCACTAATTGAATCCGCCAACCTGAATGAAAAGAATATCAGAAACGATGCCTTCGACGAATTAACCG